GCACCACTTGTTTAATTCTTGAAGGGCATGTTCAAAACAAATGTATAAAGGCTGTATCTTCTGCTTGAGACCCTCTCTAGGATGCATAAGAAAGAAAACAATAGCTATTATCATGTGGATTTGAGATGTTTTTTCTTTCTTTTCCTTGTCAGTAGCTATTTGATTATACAGTTCTCCCCCTACCATGTCACTTGTCAGATAAGACTGCAAGCATCTTTCAGCGGGAACTGTAAGCTGCTTTTCTTGTTTTTTCTTGCTTTGTTTTTCTATGGGGCCTAGCAAGGCTGAATTCTGAAGGTAACTATTGATGTACCACAACTTTACTTTTTTCTAATATGACCTCACTTACAGATAATGCAATTCAAGAGACAACACAACATCCACCCATAATTACTTTTTGATTCCAGTTTGGCACTCCTAAAAACTTTGCTTACCCTAAAGATGCTTGTAGAAGAAAACCAGCAATTATATCTCAGTAGATATAAGTGTGATACAGATACCAGAACTTCCTATTTATGTGTGATTTTACGTGCATGCAAAATGCGTAATGTCTGCTTCTAAAATCCTTTCCAGTCTTATCAGTGCTTTTGCATATTATTAAGGTTGGTCTTGTTCTGTTTTTCTAGAAACTAACACGACACTACATTTATTCCAGGCAAAATACTACAGTACATTGATCTATAGAAAAAAATTTATCTGAAACAAATAATATTACAGGTTGGGTTAGAAATGTACAAAAAACTGTGCTCTCATTTCATTTTATTGTCATCTTCCATATGATTTGCTCATACTTCATTTCTGAAACAAAGATGTATCTCATTTGCTGGAAACTAACTGTATAATTAAGTCAATATAAAAGTTATTAACATGATGCCAGTATTATTTTGACTTCTATTATTTCACAAAAGTCACATAATGTCTTTGTCCATAAATCTATTAATAGTGTCATATTTTGACTCATGGCCAGCACTGCTCTGTTCCCAGAATTTAAAAGAGCCAATAATTTTGGAGGGATCCAAAGAATAAAACCAAGGCTAATTAACTTGTGAGTAAAACTGTAATATCAATATTATCCAAATTCTATTTTTTTCAACTGAAGGAGAAGAAATCTGTTGAGTCGATTTGCTATGGAAATTTAGGGCTTGTTTAAATGTTTAAGCACATACTTTAAACATTGAATGCCCCATGATGTCGAATAGTTGGCAAAAAAGAATTTTTTTTTAATTTCTCCATTTTCACATGCTCTTTGATTGGAACAGAAGAGAACCAATCATCACTGACAGCTGGTTTTTCTACCACCCAACTGGGAGATCTCTCTGTGTCCTGTTGGGTTCACTGTTTCCCCCAACAGCTGGAGACTTGACTTCTCCCCCAATACACACACACTTCGTAGACAGCACTGCATGCACTGTCTTAAACAAATAATTTAGATCAGGCCATGAATTCTGGGACTCATTAGTGTAAAAACCAAGCAGTTGCTTCAGATGTCCTTTCAGACTCACTGGAAAAAAATTAGCAGATTAACCTTTGATCCCCATTTTCGTTTCTTCAGGCTATAGACAAAGAGAACTCCATCCTGACCATTGGGACCATTATCCCAGATGTCGTATTTGACTCTTCTGCATCTCTGGTCTAAGACATACATACTGTTTAGAAATTCTGCTGCTGTGGTTTTTTTAGTTTCTGCTGAATGCATCCTCTTTCCAGATTCCCTAGTCAAATGACTTTTTAGAACTTGCACCATATTATCTTCGCTGGTTTCCTACACACACACACTTTATATTTATTCACATCTCACAAATGGCTGCTCCCTAAATTCTGCTCTGTTGACCACTGTTTTGATCCTATTATCCCCTGCTGAATCTCTCTGAAAGTTTCTGGTGTACTAACACATCAAACTTAAGCTTTTAATTATTATTTTCAACACCTACTTTACAAATTATCCTCCCTTCCGAAATTAATTCTGCCTCTCATGCTTCATTTATTCCCCCAATGTTCTGAAGATAGCAAAAAACCCCATATACAGCTTCCTGTGTATGGTACACTAGACCTGCCCTTCGAGCACTCTATGCTGTTGACATTTATGTCATTTTTGGAGAATGACTTCTACAATGAGGTGAACTTGTCTAATAAGCCAGGTGTATGTGTAAACATACAGTTCATATGCATTTCATTACACTTTTCCCCTGCCTACTTGTTTATCCTTAAATGATGAATTCCTATGAGCATGACTCTGTCCTCATATAGCCTTGAAATGGGTGGCAATGGGCAGTTTAATAAAGGACACTGCTGCTAATAAGACTGAGCTATGCCTCACCCTAACTGGCACTATAGTGACTATGAGCTATGAGCTTTCCACATCTGAAGGTAACTTTTATACTGTAAAGTATGGCATTCACTGGGAAAAGTCAATGTAATGGGTAATGTTGCTAGGTGCTGGCTCCATAAGCTCACTCTGAGCCCTTATTCTTTACTTTCTCTTCATGCTCCTTTTCCTTATGAGGGCAGGCAGGCACAGAGCCCAACCGACATTAAGAACAGCAACGTTTAGCATATTGAGCCACCTTGCTGACTTAAGAGTTATTATGGAGTTTAATGCTGCATACAGTCCAGGGTATACAGCATACTTTTAAATTAAGTCAGAGTTTTAGAAGGATTGATGTGTTTATTGACCTATTTGAGCTCACAATTTTGGTCAAATTTTCTTTGATCTTGGTATTATTGTTAAAACATTGAGCAGAATTACTTGATCTCTATTTGATTGTACCTCTAAACCAAATTAACTCCATTACAGCACTACTACGATTATTAATAATGTTATCTTTTCAGTAATAGTGCAATTTGAGCTTCATTTCAAATTATGCCTTAGGAGTTCAAGGGGAGCAGCAAAGCCAATAAGGATCACATTAAGCCTCTTGTTTCAATGTGTGAGACGCGTCATTTAAATTTTTCAAGCCAAGTCTTGGCATTAGCTTGGGAGAACTTGGCTCTCCTCAAAGGAACAGCCTTCTGTCAATGTCAAGAACAATCCTAAAGACTAAAACCAGTGAACACAGAAGGCTGCACTGAACCTCTAAGTTAGAAACAAACAGTGACCAAAGATTAACATTTATCTGAGCTTTCCATTTGTTTCACCCATTGCAGACATATTAACATGTATGCCATGACTTCATGTTGCTATGTATTCTAGCAATGGAACAGAATAGTAACAGGGGGAAAAAAAAAAGGAAATCCAAGTATATTTTACATTGAACTCATGTCTCTGTAGAGAAATTAAAGTATCTATTTTTTGGTAAAAATCTTGGAAAATCTCAGCTGCACAAGTCACAGTCAGGTTGTATGTTAACTGTTCAAAAGGTTTTGTCAATTCCATATGAAATATTTCCTCATCTCCTGATTTTGAAGTTTAAAGTACAATTTAGGTGACAGTGTTACAGCTTTGACTATAGGAGGAAAGCAGAATATACAAGATGTCAGTAAAATTTAAACAGGATGAAGTAAGGCCTTGTACATTCATCTATGACATGGATGTTTGTGAAAAGTACTGTATTAGAGAATAAAGCTCTTCTTTTCTCCAGAGGGTACTGAGCATCCCCACACAGCCTCAGGAACCCCTATTTGAATGACTGCACCAACTATGAAAGCAGATGGTCACTCCTCCATAGACTACTCCCTGCTGGTGCTAGTGCTAGATGATGCAGATTTTACTGCAGTTCTGAGGTATGGAAATGCAAATACTAAACTTTATTGCCAAACACTTCTTTAAAAGTAACCTCGCTACTGAAGGTTAGTTACTTCTATTGTTTAAAAAATTAATGGTTATACTACTTTGTGATTTTGAATTCACTAAGGTTAGGGGGTTATCTCCAAGTTTTTGTGAGGCTGTTCTATCATTCTAATATGATGATTCTAAAATATTTCCAAATATTTTAAATGATCACTGCTATAAAAAAATATGATTTAACACTATACTTTATCCTTTAAATGTGAAAAAAGTAAAGAAAACAGAAGAAATAGTAATGTGATAGTGAGAATTTGTCATAAAATGGGAGCTCCGAAGCAGAATTCTACGAAACACTAGTTGCCCACAGAGTACTTGCAGCTGATTCTTGGAAGGCTGGCTAGTTATACTCTGCTGGCTTTAGTCCTTATTTCCAGATGTTACATCACATGAAAGACAACTAAAAATACATTAAATACTTCTCCATACAAGCAAGTTAAAAACTGCTTCAATAATGTTAGGTGCTGAAAGTAGAAGTGTTGTGTGCAAAGTTACAAAGAGAAGCAAGGAAAAAAAAATACAATCTTTCTGCTACAGTGTTGTCTGTGATACCGCAAGAGGAAACCTTCACTCTAAAGGTTCGATTTCAGTATTTCAGCACGTTTTGGATATTCAAAGCTGTATCAGATGTTCAAGATCCCAGTCCAATAACACTCAATCACAGGTCTAACCAATATTTTCTGTTACAGTTTGGCCTATGCTTATGTACCTCACTGAAATCAAAACCCATATGCGAAGGAAATAATGTACTGACAGCTACTTCAAGTGTTCAGAATAGCTAGTAATAGATGCTTCCTAGCTATTAAATGGTCTATGTTGAGATTCAACAGGCTAAAGGTACTTCTTTATAAGGCTAGAGGGTGCAGCTTACTGGAAATACAAATAAAACGTGCAAACACAAATTAATGAAACGTGCAAACTGCGAGGCTGGTATCAGCTGCAGTTTCTGGAGTTGTTTACCTGCCTACTGACAACTGTAAATTTATACCAGATTTGTATGATATTGAAGATTCATCTCACACTTTCTTAATATTTCTAATTTTTATTTATACTGTGATCTCAGTGTGACTACACAGTTTGAGTTGGTTTTTTTTTTTTGGTTGCCTTATTGTTCCCTCAACTGGGAGACTCCTACACTTCTGATAAAAGCAATGCTTACAAAGAACTCAGCTTGCAAAATGTATTGTGCTGTGGGGTACTAGTATCAAGGATGCCTCACCTTAGACCAGTCTCCCATTCTCCAGACATAGCATTTGGAATAGTCCTCACAGTCTTCTGCTTCTTTAGGTCTTGTGGACAAAACACATTTCTTGCGGGGATTGGTGCACCTCACAGTCCGATGCCGTACTCCCTTACCACACTTTACAGAGCACTGTTGGAAAAAGATGTTTTTCAGGTTTCTACAAAAGTCACATTTACCCCATTTTATCCCCTTCTAATGACCTCTGCCGGGCTAACATAAATACTTCAAGACTTCAGTGATTTCCTGACTTCCAATCTTCAGTTGGACAACAGACACTAGATTTGTTAAAAACTAACAAATGAACAAAAATTCCCAATGGGGCAGAATGGTAATTGTTGCATTTTCAGCTAAAAATATATAATTAGATCAAAACCTATTTGCTTAAGCAAATACTGTTTTGGATAGGAAAACATCTGAAGAGTTATGATGGAGTGAATGCAAAATGTTATACTGAAAATATTAGGCAATATTTGTTCTACGAATGAAAGGAAATACAGTGAAAGAAAATCTAATCAATGTTCATACGAATAAGACATGAAGCAACTTCAGAAAAAGTCTATTAGTGTCTAGTAGACCTTTTTTGGGGAGGGAAAAAAGTTAAAATGGAAAAGTAAATATTCTAAAAACTATGCAAGAATCCAGACTGAATTTGAAAATTCAAAGTCACTGCATATACAGAATGTGAAAACTCTCTTCAATTTGCACAGAAGGTCTTAATCTATGTTTTTTTCCACCATTCCCACTTACACTACCAAAAATGATGCCATTTCCGTCTCAAAACATGATCACATCTTTTGATCATCCCACTGCTTGCAGATCAAAACTCTCCTTTGCCAAGCCGATAATAAGTGCAGGAAGCAGTAGTGGCTAGCTTCCAATATAATGGTGATAGTAGGAATGGCCACGGGAAACATCTCACTCTTCAAAATGTATTTATTGCTTCCAGCAAAAACATGCTCACTTATTTCTCATCTCTCAAGTAAAACAAACCAACTAAACAATCTGTTTTTTTTTTTTTTTCTCATACCTCTGTAAGTGAATACCATTCTTCTCACAGCCGGCCCTTGAATAATAAACCTCTGTGTACCAAAGCAGGAACTGCTGCTATTTACTTCTCTTATCTCTACCTTACCATCTTCTTTTAGTCTTTGAAAGCATTCCCTACATCTTAGCTCTTTCTTGCTTGGGGATCAAGGGGTGCTGCTGAGCAGAGTAGCCCAAAGAAGGGACTGCATCCACATTCAGAACATGCTATGTGTATTTTGAACCCCAAGGGACCCATAGCAGGGCTTCTGGTATGGGAAGCAATCAGAACCGCCTTTGCTTTTCTAGCAGAGGGAGAAGCTCTAAATAACCGCTTCAGCTTTTCCAATGACAACAACACCCTTCCTCCACAGTTAATAACTTTTAGAAGTAGTATAGCTTCTTAAAAGAAGAAAGCCAAATGCATATTAAAAGATCTTAAATTAACTAATTTAATTAATTAAATTAATAAAGCTTTTTGAATACGAATTACATTCTACAGCAATGCTTCAGGATGCAAAGTACGCAAAACTGTGTTATTTACAAGCCCCTTTGCCCACTGCTTGTGCTGTGCTTGGAAAAAGAGGTGAGGAGAGAGGAGAAGGGAAGGAAATATCCTTCTTTGCAAGCAGCTCCCCTCATAGCCTTCCTGAAGCAGAATGGCAGCAACCATCTGCCAGTCAACATCCCTTGGTACAAAAGTATATCAGAGATTTTCCCACTCTGAACCCAAGGTCTGGTAACTGATAAGTGATGGTTTTAATTCCATTTACCCCTAGTTACCCACTGCTACAGTCAGGACATACTTGATTATATGGGCTTGAAAACTGGCCAATAGAAACTGTTCCAGGACATTAACTAGGTAAAATGTAGTAGTTCTACATGGCTGGTTTTTTCAGTCTCTGATCCCCTTGCCAAATCATTGCATGAGGACCGTAAAAATCATTAGGCTGAGCTGTGCCACTTGCTGCTGAAAAAATCATATTCCCAGAAAATAGTAAGGCATAAATAATCACTATGGACTATTTGTATAAATAAACGCAGCACCTCAGACCAGACTCCCGCCTCCCACACAGTCATGCAGTCCTGGCCTTCACAGCGCTGTGCAGAAGCAGGCTTTGGCCCAAGGCAATCCCGCTCCCTAGCTCTGATCAGGGTCCCATTTCTGAGCTGCTGTGTGCAGGCTACTTGTCTGTTCTGGGTCCCTTTTCCACATGTCCTTGAACATGGAGTCCATTCTGTCATCATCCATCTGCAAAGAAATATAGGCAATGCAGTAACAAGAAATCAGGAAGGGAAAAGTACCATCACACCATATTACTCTCTTGTTTACCAGTACACAAGCCCAAGACACACTTGTATATTTTCCACCTCCTTTTAACCTTTGTTAATGGACTATTTATTAAGCTAAGATATTTTACATTAAATAAGGTGTTAACCTTGTTTAAATAAGGTTAGTATCATTTAACTCCCCGCCCCATTGTCCCTATGTTTTCAGAGTACTCTCCTCTCATTATAATTCCAGTTAGAAAAGTTCCAAAATACACATACATTTTAAAGATGACAGATCATTGATCAGCCTGTCTGTTATTCTCTATATGACTATATGTCAAGTGCATGCTATGCATGTAAAGTTCAGCATTCTTTGAAAATACTCAATTGCAAGACAGAGCCACTCCTGTGTGAAGGGCTCATTACTCTGGAGGAAGCATAGAAGCTCAGACTTCCTCATGTTCTTCAGGGTCAGGCCTAACTCAGGTTGCATGGTTTAAATCCCAGCAGCAAGGAAAGCTTATGCAGCTTGGCAGAGCCCACATACCTGGAGAGCAATTTGTTCTAGAACATAATTTTCCCAAATGTTCTGTAGCTCCAGACTATGGCTATGTGCCCTTAAAAATCAAACAGGTCTGCCACTGATGCAGTACACAAGTGCATACCAGGAGACTCAGATTGCAAGGGAGGCTTTTTAGGAAACCGAGATTTCACAAATCTGTTCCAACCTTCTGTCACGTGTTTGTTGTAAGAAAATAAAACATTTAACTAAGTGTTTTTTGGGTTTTTTTTTTATTATCAGTCCAGAGACTCAGTTTACAAATCACAGCCTGTCAAGATAATGCAATAGAGTTTAAGATACTTCTTGAAGTGCCAATAACAACTAGTTATGCAAGCGTACGCTTTAGTTACCTTTCTGTTGAAAGCTAACAATATTTGTTTCGTAATAATCACTGACACTGTATTAAAAACTGTATATCTAAGTTAATGATCATGATATCTTTCAACATTTCTCAGCACAGCATCTCCAAGTAGCAATTAGTGACATTTAAAATGTTTGATTTAATAAGCTGGAAAAAGTACAGGACATCATTAAAAATTTATGGTTGACAATGCCTCCACAAAAGACCATACTATTCAATTTCTCTCCATTAAGTGCACACTGATGTTCATAAAATAAAATAAAATAAATAAAATAAAATAAAGATCTGCTCAAGTATGTATATACTGAAATAGAAATAATCCTTCCAAAGACCTAGTCTGGGGAAGTCCAAACCTCACTGGTTTGGTCTTACTTAAAATACACCATAACTTGCATTTTTTCAATTTAAATATTTCATCCTTTCCAAGAAAGCTATGTCTTCCAGTTCATTTTACATACTTTCTTCAACAATACTTGCATTTTATTTACCTTGCATTGTTTTCTTTAAAAATACCATCTACCTCTCCTCCAGATGACTGCAGTAGACCTATACCAGTGCTTACTCCTGGGGATGCTAGCTGACTATTGCTAGCTGCTATCCTCTCCCTTGAAAGGTGTCAGTCACTTTATGCAAGCCCACACAGTACTTAGGGGCTTCCTCAGTCATAACTCTTTGTTGCCATATGGAAACAGGATGGCAAACTCTGAAATGGGTCACTGTGCTAGCCAGTGCAAGGAGTAGGCTGCCAGCTTGGCTGAAGGAATACCAAACAGGGTGGGCTTTGCAGGGCACAGGCTGCATGCTGCAGCTGCCTCCTGGGGTGAAATTCAGAGAAGAAAAAGCTCCTCCTTCTTCCACCATTCCACCATCAGAGTCTAGTTCTATTAATCCACGTACAAAGGGATGTGTGGAGAGGGAGGAGAGAAGAGAGGGGAAGGCTCTCTATATTTCAAGCAGCATCAACATAGAAGGCCCAATTATCAGATTTGTATCTATCTATCTATTTATTTATTTATTTAATACCTAGCACACCCAGAGCTTACTGAGAACTTTTAAAGGAGCGAAGCCCTGATTGAACAAAACACTAAAATATATCATTAATTAAAAGCATGGGATTAAATCCGTCATATAACCAGCATTTATATTTCAATTTCCTAGTACACATCAGTCTGTGAAAACTCTTCCTGAGGAAAGTAAGGAGCTGCTTTATTGAATAAGAATTGATTTAGGCATGGTGCTTAAGGGCTCTTTTTCATTAAAACTCAGGAGAAACAACAGCCAATGTTTCTGTTTTCCCTACATTTTGCATTATAACCTTTTGGATGTATGCATTTACTGCACATTCGTTGCCAGAGGCAGTCAACTCTTTCAGCTCCTAAGATTTTTACATCTAGGTATTACAGTTTAATTTAACCAAATCACTATTACCTGGTCTGGCACGGCTGCTCGTTGCATTTGCGGATCTGTGGTTCAGGTTTTGTTAAGTATTTGCACTTCTTGTTGTCCACAAGACTGATATTCTTGTTCATTATTTTTGTGCAAGAGACTGTTGTCTTTCTTTCACCTAGTGAAAAATAAAGCAGGTATGTGGGGAAACCAGGACTATGCAACTGTTAAAAAAGGAAGGACAGAGGTATCTTTATCAGATACAACTATTTCACGTAGTTTGGCTAAAAGAACAGTAAAACCTGTGCAAGCAAATCAAAGCTAGCAGGGAACTTGAGAGAGATATTGAAGCTTGTAGGGGAACAATGTGATTTTCTAATAGAATCTTTCCACACCACTGCCAACAGAGTTTTGCAGCATTATTCCTGTAACTAGTCATAGGCCAGACCCTTAGTCTTACTGGAATAATTGTTTCTTTCTCAACCACTGAGACTCCAGCATTGAGAAAAGCTTGCAGAAAAAATAGATAGAAAAGCACGGTTGTTCATTAACACATAAAATAAGGAAAGGAATGACAAGTCCTGCTTCTCCATTTTGCTCACGCTTAGTAGTTCTGCCTGGTTTAGCAGCATACCAGCAGGCGTGGCCAGCACTCAGCTAAAGGTAACCAGCACATGCAGCCTTCAGAAAGGAGCCTGCACTATTCTCCATGAACTAAAGAGGCCACATAACTGACCTGATCTGTAGGGTAATCATTCAGGAAGCCGGGTACTGCCTGCAGAAACCTAGTGCATGTTCTGTACAGAAACCTTGGCCTGACGGGTAGAGCCTGGTGTCTCCTGAAGCTGCAAGTGTTAGTGATCAGAATTTAATGTAGTACCTACTGCTAGCATTAACTTGTAATTAGACTGAAGCCTAATTTTTAGAAAACGAGCAATCCTTGAATTATAGACTTTAATTAGTGGAAAATAGGTTCATAACAATTTGTTCCTATGGTTATGTTTTAGCACTGTGTTTCTATTTGGAAGTCTACCAACAAAAATGGTGAGTGCAGGAGCAGGGCAGACTTAAGCATGGAATGTTCACCAGTGGTCAGAAATGTGCCCGGAGATGGAGCAGTTAAGTAATAAATGCGCATTATGTGTGTGACCACAGCCGACATTTTATACAGTACTTGTGTACATGAGAGCACATACAACTAATCTATCATATACAGCATTTGAAATGTTTGACAATTCTTTTTTTATTTACATATACATCTGTGTATTCATATTCTCTTCCACACGAAGAAAGCTTTCCTGCAACACAGGAGGTTGCAGACCAGTTTCATATATAAACATGCACAAAACCATGTGTCTTCATCAATAGTTTCATACTGACGCACATGTTAAATGTTTAAGTAGAACTACCACTAATAGTTATATTCTTTAATTACAGTCATCAAAATATTGATATTTAAAATTGAAACACAAACATTTACACAGGGCACAAGCTGCAGCATTTAAATTTCATTATTACTTCATATTTAAGCCAAGAACTAAAAGAACAGTTAAAATGATTTTGTCTAAAATAAGAAAAATCTTTCTCTTGTATTTCTGAATATTTGCAGTAAAAACACCTTTTATGGAATGCTGTATTAACTCAGCTATTTTAGACAATAACAAAAAATGAAGGCCAGTTAGAACAGAAAAATATGATAAATAAACATTGCAGTAAAATACTTAAATATTTATTTAAGCATTAATGCAGAATAAATCACTGGCAAACTGCATTTTAAGACCTCCAGATGATAAGTAAGTTTAGAAATATTTGGGGCAATAATGAGAGGTTGTGGCAGCATTAAAATTATTCTAAAAGTACTTCAGGAAACTGTAAAGTGCATGAGTATTCCAAGTGAATAGGAATGCAATACTAAGAAACAGAGGATGCTACTAGCACCACGTACAAAATACCTTCAGGGAATAAGCTTTCTTACCAAACCACAAAAAGCATGTTTATGGAAACTACAGTAATCTGTCATGACACCAGGACTGTTCATAGAGTCAAAGGAGCTAGAACACTGTGTTCCTTATGCTGCTGTTATGAGAAAGTAAAGTATTTCCAGGCCTTCTTATTCAATCACAAGGTGCACAGCAGATTTCAGAACTGCTAATTAGAGCAACCATGACTGTCAAGGTCATAAGCAGGAAAGACAAGTATCAAAAAAATCAATATGGCATTCACAGTGTAGGTCTGACTGTGCACAGGGTATGAACAGATCTCTATAGGTTGCATTCATTAAAAAGTGTTTTTTCAGTGTAATTACCTATTTGAATAACCATCTTCTGAACAGCAGTTTTTAAAGGATTTTGTTACAGCAATATTGTTTATGTTCCAATATTTGTTTTCATAATTGTATTTTGTTCTTCCAAATTCACATTTTTTTATGGTTTATAAACATAAACACAGGAAAAATATCACATCAGCCTATTAATATCTGCTGTTGCAATATTTGTTCCATATGTTTCTGGATCATCCTCAACTCATGTTTCTAACTGTACATATTTGATCTGAGACTGGGGTTCAGCTTTTCTGTAGCTTGAAATGTCTTTTACAGATCATTTATCTTCAACAGTTCCAAATACAGAGTGGAATGCGTATGAACTTTCTATTCTTGCTCTAGCTCTTGCACTTGTATTTCTTCTCGGAAACTGTGTCCTGAATTCGCTTTGTTAATCTAGATTTTGTTCCTTCACTACCATATTTTTCTACTTACTTTATTTAGTTTGAATCTTTTCCTCAAGTTATCACTATTCTTTTAATATAATCAGGAAGCATGAGACTGAAGTATGTCCACCATTGTATGGAATCATACAAGCCGCAATGAGGATATTACTATTAAATATGTAACACGGACCATTAGAGTCTTAATTAATACACCATGTGTTTTAATCAAGAGATACATATACACGCATAATGTATATACATATATATGCATATTGTATACACACACTTATAAGAATTCTGTATACACATGCATATTGTATATACATACATGTTTTTAATATATGTGTGTGTGTTTTGGTACATTTTTCTTTTATTTTACCTCCTCCACATACAACATCACAGTCCTCCCAGCCAGAATGAGTCCACATGAAAAGAGGCTCTGGTACTTTAGAGCTCTGATTCTCAGGAAGAGGATCCAGTGGGATTGTGTACTCATAGTGTAGACCATAGCTCTGGTCATGGAAGAGTAGCACCTGCAAGATATAGAAAAGGAAAACCTACCTATGTACACAGACACTGTGGAAGAAAAACTCTGAACTATGAGGAGATAATATTGAAAAGCACAACAGAATAACTTAATGTCGTATAGCCTTTCAAACCCCCTGATGGATTTTGTATGAGAAATTAATGAGAATATCCAAATAAAGAAAATGGGAAAATTATTTTACATAACATAAAGGATGACAAGCTCTCCGTGTGAAATAAGCAAACAAAATTCACCAGAAATCTGGAGGATGATTATTTCCTGTGATTTCAGTGCTTTTAAATAGAGGAGTTCTTTCCTAGAAGCATCAGATTTAAAACTATTTTAGATATACAAGACAATTTCTGGCATTTGAAGGATTTTGAATTGTGCAGTACTTCCTCATTGTCTCCCTCTTTTTCCTTCTGGTGGCTATCAACTTTTCCTCCCCTACACTGATATGTATCAAAAATCTCCTTCTTCATTGAGAACTTGGTAACTGCAGTCTTACAATGGCGAGGCTGTGCGATAGTCAGACAGGATAAAAAAAATCTAATATTAATTTGAATCTCTCTCCTTAAGTGGCACAACAGCTTTTTATGACATTTCTATGAATGCTGAGACCTTCAATCCTGCCTCAACAATGTAAAGATAATTTGTGTATTTAAATGCATTTTTTTAGAAGTGGGCTGACAGATGTATTGTTACAAGCAGGTTTATATATATATA